ATAACATAATTTGTAATTATTGTTTGGATAATTATTTTTTTGAAAGAAAGTTTAAAATTTGGAATTTAATAAGATAAAAGTAATTATAATAGATAAATAATGATATTAAAGAAAACTAATTATCATAGATAATTAATGATATTAAAGATAGAAAAAGTAAAATACTAAAAAAACTAATCATTAGATTTGTAAAAATATATAGATATTACTAACAACAAAAAAATTTTAAAAAAATTATAATGAATTTTTGTAATTAAAATTGAAAATTACAAAAGTTGCCTAAAAAAGCAACATAATAAATATTGATTTCTCGCCATAAAAACTTGGAATTTCACAATTCTACTTTGGTGGAATTTGAAAAGAGAATTTGAGCCTTTTAAAAATGTTAATTCAAATTCCAAGAATTTTGATAATTTTTATTTTTATTTTATCAAATAAGATAATTCTATTTTAGAATTTTAAAAATCTTTGTACAAATAAAATCTTTCTTTGAAATCCCTCATTCAAACGCACCTTAAATTATTTCTTTTTTTTTTTAATAATGACTCAAATTTTTAAAAAATTGATGTTTTATATTTTTAGATTCACTTAAAATATAGTTCCATGATGAAGTTTATTTTAAGAGTAAGTTAGTGGGCATTATATTTTGTGAAAATTGGTTTTTATATTTTAATTTCATATCATATTATTTCTTTTCTTTTAATTCTTTGGTTTTAATTGTATGGTTAAGGGCTTGGATTTGAATTTAAAAAAAAAAAAAACATTATCTATAATTCTTCAAAGGTTAGAATTAGAAGTTTTCACTTTTCATTCGTTTAATTGCAGCCCTTAAAGTTTAAAACAAACGAATTTTAGTAAAAGTTTATAGTTTAATTGATTACGTTTGTTTGAAATTGGATTGCGAATTAAACGTTTGATTGGAATGTTAATGTGTTGATATAATTATGATTCTTTATAATTAATGAATTTCTTTTATTTGTTGACATAAACAAATTGAGTATCAAATTATATTAAATTATTATTTTAATGTAAATGATATAGTATTCGATTTTGATTTTCCTTTTGGTTGCTTGAATGATTATTTATTAAGGTTTGGCCTAGCAACCTCTAAATGGAAATTCCTCACATATTAACACTTTAATTTAAATCTAAATTTAACTTAATTAATTTATACAATCATTTTAAAATGTGATATATACAAATTTATGATTCAAATCCTAATATGCGTAATCTTTTTTTTATTCCAAACTGCACCTATTTTATATAAAAAAAATTAACACCTTAATCTGTTTTTCGTTAATAATTTTTGTTTGATCAAATTAAATTTTAGATAAAGAAAAGAAATAGACCTTTATCTTCTAACTTACTTTCAAGTTTTGTGTCGAGTGACTCAAGTCTCCTCGAGGGATTTTTTTTTTTTTTTTTTAATTCCAAGTCATTACATTTCAAAGCATTTTTCAAGTTTCAAGTCATTACAATTTGATTAATTAAGTTTAGGGTGTAAATTTTTTTTTTTTTACCAATTATGAGTGAGCCCATCGAGCTTGAGGGTTGAACAAGTTGTTCAGATTTTATCAAAATTTTATATCTAAATTTTTTTTTGAAACATCTCAATTAAATTATTTATAATTAATAAATTGAATACAAATTCAGGGCATTGCCCTGCTTGGTTTTCAAGAGTAAGATCCATTAATCTAGTAAAATTTTTAAAAATATTTTTTTATATCAAGAGTATTTAAAGATCTCATTTGTTTCATTGAAGAGACTCTATCATCGAAAAAATATTTATTTATTATTATTTTTATTAAAAATATATTTAATTATTCTATCATTTGGGTCAAATTAAAAATATTTTCTTTTTTTGAATTTTTAAAGTTTTTATTATTTGGGCTTATTTAGAAATTCTCTTTTTTTTGTTAGATTTCTAAATTTTTCACCATTTGATCAATTTAAAAATATTTTTTTTCAAAATTTTTAAAATTTTCATCATTTGGGTCATTTAGAAATATTTTCTCTTTATTTATTTTTTTGTCTTCGGAAGAAAAATAATATGACAATTATTTTTTATTGAAATTTCTTTTAAATTCTTTCACTATTTGAGATAAATTTAAAGAAATTTCTCACTTAGAGATTTCTTAAGAATTTAGCATTTGAAATTTCTAAAAATCTTATTATTGGATAATTATCAAATATTTTCAACCAAATTTGAAAAAGAATACAATTACTTTTATTGAAATTTTATCTAAATTATTCTATCATTTGGGACAAATTTAGAGAAAATTTCTCACCTAAAAATTTTTTAGAAATTTACCATTTGAAATTTTTAAGAATCTCATCCTTTGATAATTTGTACTTAATTCAAAAATTTTTATCAAAATTTTTATTTTTTTATTTTTTCTTCTTTTTTTTGTTTTGAAAATAAATATTAATTATTGTTATTAAAACTTTATCTAAATTATTACATTATTTGGGATAAATTTAGACAAATTTTCTCACCTAGAAATTTTATAGAAATTTACCATTTGAAATTTTTATAAATTTCATTATTGGATAATTAATATTTATTCCTAAAATTTATTATTTTATTTTTTTTATTTTTTAAAAATTTATTCATGTAAAAATACTCTTAAAAATAAACAAACATATAAATAAAAAAATAAAAAAATATGAAAAAATACCAAAAGAATCAAAAAAGCTCGGCTGGAAGGTTGGCGTAGCTTGGCTCTAGACATAGAAAACAGCTTAAAGAAATGGCTCAGGGGAAAAAATCGGCTCAGCTCGGCTTAGCAGCAAGGTCTGCAGATTGAAGCGGGTTGCACTACGGGTCGGGTCACCCACGTGGAAACGCGCGAATCCTGAACTCTTTTAACCACCAAAACGACATCGTTTTAAAGAGGTTATAAAAGCCCAAATTTCAGCCCTTTGCTTTAGATCTCTCCTTCCCTTTCTCTCTCTTCCCCCTTCTTTTTCTCCCTCTCTTTAGAACTAGATGAACTCCGATTGAATCTCCGTCAGATTTTGAAAAACGTCATTGAAATTTGGGTTGGTTCGCCAAAAGTTTATCGAAAAATTTAATCGATGCTGAAATCTATGCCAGATTTTGGGAAACCTATCGAAAAGTTCAACCAAAGTTGAAAAACTTATTGAAAAATTCAATCGACGCTAGAAAATTTAATCGAAATCTGAAATTTTTTCAAAAATTTTTCAAAAATAAAAAAAAAAACTCTAAAATTTTTTTTTCTCTCTGTTTGTTGTCTTTTTATTTCTTGCTTCCGTTTTTTTTTTTTGTGTGTACTTTCTGCCTCTATGTATATCTATTTATATAGTTCTGATCCAAAAACCCTAAATAAGAAAGGAAGTCTAATTTCCTTTAAACTTTAATCCCACCCAACTTCTTCTAATCCTACTCAAACTCTTCGACCCAGTTTTAAACCAATTCAACTACCATTTTTTTTCTGTTTTTTCATTTATTAACAAAAATCAAATTAAGTAGAGCCCCGGATAAATTGGGATGTCTACAAATATCAACATATTATTCATTTCGATTCAAAATTTTCATAATTTTTTCACAAAAAATATTTCATAAATAAATTTAAATCTTTAAATATAATAGTAAAATGAATCCTCACAATATTTAATATTTGGATGTAGGATTGGAACGTTAAAAAAGCTAAATTCTAAATTAGATATATAAGATGAAGATTTAACATAGACTCTGCCATCTTATTGAGCAAATAGATGTTAAACTGTTTCTATCACGAGCCATATGATTTGAATAATTGACATTTGAGCTTTAGTTCTTCCTATTTAGGTATTCAAGGCAAAAAGCTTGACATTATCTGCATTTGAGTGGTTGATAATGCTTTGCATTGCTAATCAATTTGCTGAAAATAGACTTGAATTGTAAACCTTGGAATTATGAATTAGTGGTACTAATCATCAAATTAACACTAATTAAGGATTAATATTTTAATCAAGTCAATTTTTTTAATTTTAATTTGCTTTTAATCTCTCCTACCCTTATACTTACTTGCAAAAGAACACATTACATGAATAAGCTCTTTTTAACTCAAAATCTATTATGTGTCAGCTCCAATGATATGCTAATTATTTCGAAGTTTAATATTAAAAACTTGAATTTAGATAAATGTTTGCACAAATTGAAAAAAAAAAAAAGTTGGGAAACGACAGCTTGAAGCTTTTGTCTAAATTGTATATAAGATAGAGCAAATAAAACTCGAGCTGTTTCTATCACAAACCGAAATGAACAATTGAGTAGTAAACCATGACATGAAAGTTGTATTTAATTAGTGGCTGTGAGCTTTAGATATGCTCTTTTTTTGGTATAGAAGACAAAAGCCTTGATCTTATATGCACATATGAGTGGCTGATATACTTTGCATTTCCAATCAAATTTCCTTTATTTAACAGCTACCTACTTGCTGGAAATTGTAAAGATTTACTAAGATTGAGAATTAACTATCTAATCTTGAAATTGTAAAGATTTACTAAGATTGAGAATTAACTATCTAATCTTGTACCGGGATATTATACGAATCTATAATAATACATATAAGAGACTTAAACCCATATTTGGAAATGCCTTTTGTTAAAAAAAAATTGTAAGATATCCAAATCAAAATAGACAATACCTTAAAAGTTGAGTGCAAATCTCATCATGAACTTCATAGGAAATCATGAATCCACCACCAAGGTATCAGGGGCAAGAAGAAAACGTAGGCCAACTATTTCCCTAGCATGTTTACAGCCATGAATTGTATGATTTGCTTAATGTCAGCTGGTACTTGAGCTTGACTAATCGATATGATTAGGGGAAGGCCAAACTACAATAATAAAAATAAAAAAATTCAGTGCCTAACTCTTATTATGAATATATAAATAATGAGATTGAGGAGTGTTAAGACATAAGTTCTTCATTAGTGAGAAAGAGAGTTAATCACAGTGAAAAGCTTCAAACTTATAGCAATTTCAATACTAGAATGGGATTCTTCACACCTCATCCTCAGCTGGCTTTCATATTTGGTGTCTTGGGTATTAGCTCTATTCTTGTCCTTTCAAATGCTTAATTAGTTTAGATTGTCAGAGTTTGAATTTAGATCATTAAAATTAAGAATGCAGCACTCTACCAACTTTCGTTAGGTTTCTTGGCTGTCAAGCCAACTTCACTTGTATCGGCATTGCAACTTGAATCTAAAATCTCCATCAAAATCCCTTCTAACCACCTAAATGATTAAGTTTGCTCCTATACATTGTATATGATGTTCATTTGTATCTTGTTTTGTGTAGGTAACATTGTTTCATTCTTGGTGTTCTTGGCACCAGTGTAAGAGCCTTTCTGTTTCTGAACAGCCTTGTATATATTTGCTTATGATTCAATGGCACAGTGCTAATATCTGTCTCCTCTCTCTATCAGGCCAACCTTTTATATAATTTGCAAGAAAAAAACTGCTGAGGGATACCAACCAATTCCTTATGTGGTTGGACTTTCCAGTGCAATGATGTTACTGTACTATGGTATGCTTAAGACGAACGCGAGCCTGATCATCAGCATCAATGGCATAGGATGTGCTATAGAAGTTATCTATCTAGTATTATACATTATATATGCACCTAAGAGGGAAAAGGTAACATTTGTTTATTTAAATGAAAAGAATCATTTAAAGAAAAAAAAATTGACATGAATGGTTTTTTTTTTTTTTTTAAATTGCAGGTTCTTACAGTGAAATGGATAATCCTGTTCAACCTTGGAGGTTATTGCTTGATCATGGGACTCGCCAATTTATTTACCGAAGGGTCCAAACGTGTAACTGTCGTAGGATGGATCTGTGCTGTTTATAACGTTGCAGTATTTGCTTCTCCTTTAGGCATCATGGTTTGTAGCTGCAAGAACAAATTTCATTCTTTGTTTTGAAACTTAAAATATAAGGAATCTCACTTGTCTGGTTAAATCCTGACATGAATCGCGCTAAAGATACGCGGTTGATGAGTCTGTTAGTCGATTTCTATGATGATCTAATTCTCAGTACTTGAAATTTCTTTTCTTTAGCTTTGCAGTTGACAAAGTATCATATTTTGTTACAGAGGCATGTCATAAGGACTAAAAGTGTGGAACACATGCCATTTTTTCTTTCCTGTTTCCTCACATTATGCGCCACAATGTGGTTCTTCTATGGAATTTTCGTAAAGGATTTCTACATCGCTGTAAGTCATTCATATATTTAGTTCTTACAAGCAGGATTTCTTTTTGAGACTGACTTGAAAGAACATTATGGTTTTTGCATGTTTCAGTTGCCAAATGTGTTGGGTTTTTTGCTTGGAATTGCACAAATGATCCTTTATGTCATATACAAGAATGCAAGTAAGGATGTCGAAATAACAGAAAAGCAGCAGAATGGAGACATAGAGTTAAAGCTGAGCTCAGTGGCGGATGTAAATCCATGTTTGTCAGAAAATCAACTGGAAATCAGAAAAGAATAATGCATGATCGCGTCGATGCAAGATAGATTAAGTACAAATAAGGTACTGTAAAATTGAGTCCCATTGATGTGGAAACAACTCATATAAACCTAAAGGCTTCCTTGTCAGGCAGCACCATAGATATGTGGAATTAATGTTTGTAATAATGAAAAGATGGAAAATATGCAGAATGTCTATGAATGGTCTTCTCTTTTCTTTGAATTAGGGACATTCAATTTGGAAAACTCCAGAGTTTAACAATTTATACAGACTGATAAAAAACCAGATTAACATGAAAAAATGAAAACAAGGATGAATCATTTCCCAGATTAAAATGAAAGTATTTGCTCGAGAACAACCGGCAAGACCAGTTTTGCTTGGTGAATTGTGCTGTTAGTCCAATTAGGGGTGAGAAAAAAACTGAAAAAATCGAAAATCAATTTGAAAATATAGTATTTGGTTTGGTTTGGATCATTTTTTTTAAAATCTAATTTAGATATTAAATGTATATATTAAGTTCGGATTGAATTTTAGATCGAGATGTGAAAAATTTTTAAAAATTGATTCAATCATATATTTTGATTAGTTTTTATATATATTTTAAATTATTATAAAATAAAATAATTATTTTATATAAAAGCTTATTTAAATTTATTAAAAATATTATTAAAATAAAATATAAAAAATTAAATTTTAAATTTTAAAAATTAATAAATCGAACAAATAGAATTTGATTCAGATCAGATCGATGTCAAGAAAAATTTGATTCAAATTTGAATTGAATTTTAAAATTTTCTAATATTGTATATTATTCAAAAAAACTAAACTAAATTTAATCTGATTTGAACCTTTATCATCCTCAGTCCAATGTGAAACCAGTTTTGTTGCTGGTTTTTGTGCTAGCTGGTGTAGCCAAAGATTGTTTTACTGTAATGCATCCCCAAGACTTCCTTTTAAAGATGTCTAACTTAATACAAAGTTGAGGGCAATGTTTATTTCAGCTAAGTTTTATTTCCTAATCTCAACTTGATAAATATCTTATACTTTCCCAATTTTGACAAGCTGCAATTGCAGTGGAACTAATGTCGATAATTGTTAGATATTATCATTGAGATGCAAGCTGTATTTTGTTGTTTTATGAGTGATGGACATGAAAGAAACAAAGATAAAGCTCAACAGATTCACTACTATCATCTTTTTGCCTCCTATCCATCATGATTAAGTATCAATAAGGGTTCTTTATTTTGTATCTTACAACCCTTCCAAAACCAACATTGACCTGAAGTTTTACATGTCAAACTGAAATCACTTCCATGGACCTTGACTGTGGTGTTGCTGATGGACCAATTTCCTTCCTCATTTTCTGCATATGAAGAATGTCGTTATAAGTTATCTTCCATCATGCTTCAACAGATAGAATTTATGAAAGCGGCAAAAGAAATGATGGCATAAATGTAAAAGCAATCAAACCATGTCAACCACTGTGTTTTTCCAAGCTTTCTCTAGCTCATCAAAAACAACATCAATTGGAGGCCTGCCTCGACTCGATTTGGCAACACAGAGGACTGCAATTTGCAGGATGGCTTCGAAATCTGTCCTATTGAGATTCCCATGTAGCCTCGGGTCTTCAAAATCTGTTAATGGACGTTTTCCCATGCTCACATCCTTTGCCTACAGGAAATTCAAATTGGTTACACAATGTTTTGCATTTCTTACTGATCAGATGTGAGGGATTGAGGGAAATAAGTACTTTTCGTATCAGCTGTTCACTGGCATCAAGATCCAACTCAATAACTTTCTGTCCAGACAGAAGCTGCAAGGCCACAATTCCAAAGCTGTAGATATCACTGGCACTGGTCAGATTTGCATTGCTCATGTATTCTGGATCCAAATAGCCTATAGTTCCTCTAACATCTGTGAATACTTTGCTCTCCTCCATCCCCAGCATCTTTGCCAACCCAAAATCCGAGAGCTTGGGTTCCAAGTTTTCAGTCAAGAGGATATTTGTGAGCTATGGACAAACATTCAGCATAGGAAACAAATTAAACAAGAATTAATTATATGAATATGAACAATCAGTTGCTTTTATAGAGACAGATCTGCAGCATATCTTCATGTTACCTTAATATGCCTATGAACAATGCATCCATCAATAAAATTGTGAAGATACCTCAGCCCAAGTGCACAGTCTCTTAGGATCTTAACTCTTCTTTCCCATGACAAGACGTGGTCTTTCCCTGAAAAGGAAACAATTACATGTAGGTTAAAGCAAATATAAAAGAAGATGAGGGGTCCTATTTTCATGCCCCATATGGCCAGAACACATTCTTTCAAGCTTGACCACTGCAATTTGGGGTGAAAAGACAAATAGCACATATCTGAAAAAAAAAAGCAACATATAATGGTTCAGGAAAAATTACTTAGAAGATGCTGAGCAAGATTCCCAGCAGGACAATATTCCAAGACCAAATACTGCTCATCATCTTCAATACAGCAACCAAGAAGAGAAACAAGGTTTGGATGTCGAATCCTGGAAAGACAGGCAACTTCTCTAGTAAAAGAATCAGAGGAGTTTTCTTTATTTATCTGCTTGATGGCCACAACTTGTCCACTAGGCAGAATGCCTTCATAAACTTCACCAGCACTCCCTCTGCCTAAACACTTTCTTTTATTGTTATTTCTGATGGCATTCTCAATCTCAGCCTTGGAGAACCTGTAGAGGCCAGACCATGTAGTTGTGTCCTTTGATGGAACAAGTTTAGTAAGTTTTCTTCTGCTTGTGTTCTTCCTTAAGGTCACGAATTTTGCAAACACGACGATCAGAATTAGTATGATGATCGCTATAAAGACTGCAAGTAGTGCTTTTGCCGAGGACCCTGATAAAGGATTTCTGTGAGCACTTGATGTGATAAAGGCAAAGAGGAAAAAAAAAAAAAAACCTATAATTTTCAATGGTACCATGGCTCAAACAGAATCAAATCAGCAGCAACAGATAGAGATAAGCAAGCAATTCAACTTACTTTTGAGTCTGATGTAGCCTGGATCTGTTAGGCCATTAAAAAAAAAAAACAAAACAAAACAAAAGCTCAAAGTCAGGATAGGGAATTTGAACATAAGGCAGAGGAGGTTCTGCTTAAGTTCTGGTCCTTACCATAATCATCTAAAGAAGACATACAGCTAAACAAATCTGCACCAAATGAGCTATCAGAAGCATATGCAGCTGCAACTGAAATAACTACCGCTAAACTACATATTGTTCTTTCAGTATCATCATTTTGCCCATTTAATAGTTGCAATAGATTCCCCACCACCTGTCCCATGGCTTCAATGCAATTTTTGCAGGAATGCTCAAATGAAGAGCTTAAGTTAGAACATAACTCTACTGCTTGAGGATAAAATGGATTGCCCTGAATTTGGGGTAGAGATAGGCTTGAGCATTTGCTACTGCCAGAGTAGAAATTGTCAAATCCACAAGATTGAATGGAAACTGATTCTTGGCTTAAAAAAGGAGAATTACAATTTCTCCAAGAAACTTGTTCAATGAAGATGATACCATCTTTTGTGTCATTGGCCCGAACTGCAAGAACTTGGGAGAAGGTGTTGAGGGCGTTTCGACAGCAAAGAGTTGAGGAGATACTGCCCCATAACTTGACCTTCCCATTTCCACCGAGGCAGTTACCACTTGGTTGGTAAGGATATGAAGTGAAATTCAAGACACAGTCTGCAAACCATAGGAACTTTGTCAAAGCTTAGATCGAAAAAATGGCTTTCATGTACCATGCAGAATTTAAAACACTAAGCAATTTAGTCCTCAGGATCCGAAACCATCTTAGTAAAATATCTGTTATCAGTGAAAATTCATTTGAAACAAGAAAGGGCATGGACTAAACAAAACAGAAAAGAAAAGGAACCTGCAGCATCCGGTGAAGGTGAACCAAAAGCAAAGGCATAGAAAAAGAAGCTGCTAATGCAGAAGTAGGCAAGGTTCAACCAAGGATGAAGTTTTTTCATGTCCTTTTCCTGCTATGCTATACCTAGAAAGATCATGCCATGAAGAAAAAAGTGATAACTACTAATGCGAAAGCGAAAAGCCAACATTTTCAATAGGAGAAACTCCCAACAGTTTATTTATAGAACATGGTTTTCCTAGTGACTATCGTTTAAAAAACAGGATATTCTTGTATGGTAGGTGGATTCTTACAGCAAATTATACAAACCTTGAAATCATCACCACATTGGTGTTTTTAACATATACATAGGGTTTAAGGTGAAATGATAACAAAATTTTTCTTGATCTTAACTCCCATATGAAGATTCTAATGAATGCAATACACAGTTAATCCAATCATAGAATCAGATTGCAGCATTCATTGATCAAGAAAAAGCATAACAGTTGTGGTAGTACTTTATCACCATCTTCTTGTTGAAATCCAAGAAAGAAGGTTCCCTAGTCAACATGACATAGTGTAGTAATTTTCTCCCACATTAATGATTGAGCTTGATGTTTCAAACGTTGCAGCAAAAAGTTGGCATTTTTAGAATTCAAAGCTGGTTAAAGGGATCACATTTTCACTTTATCTTTTTTTCTTTTAATAAGGACAATTCAGAATATGTATAAATTCAGCTCCTGCACATCTCAAAACATTTGTTGATTATATACCAATTTAAGTATATATATTTAAGAATTTCCTGGTAAAAAGAGAACTGCAAGTCTGTGGTTGTACCTTGACCATCAGGTTAACAACTTGAAATCAATCTAGCCCTTCAATTCCTTCCTTACTGCACTTTGTCTGAACGTGTCCAGAGTACTATCTCCGACACCCCCTGACATTTCTTTCTGTGATATGCCACATCAGAAGTCTAGCCAACTCTCCAACAAGCTTTGAAGCCATTCAACCAGAAAATACATGGACACCAGCCTATAAACCCGAATTTTTTTTCATACATACGATCTTAGAATATATAATGAAAACTAGCCCTCCTACATTCCATAAACCCCAGCTTCTGTCTTATTTTGTATATGTTGCAGTATCTTCAAACCATGTATTCCTTCCTGCACCTACTTTATAACCTTTCTTTCTTTGACATCAACAAATGGATGTCCCAATGATGAGAATCCAGCAGAAAGAACCCAAATATGATATTAATGTTTGAGTCCTCCATGAATTGATTGCTCAAACTTCAAGCACATAAACAGAAAACAAACTGATCATAGTAACAATCATACTCCAACTGCATTTCAATGTCAAGACATTGAGGTATGATAAAAGTATATTAGAGTTCAATATAAAAAAGCAGGGTTAAGATGTCAAAGCAGCTCTTTCACAAGGCATAGATAATTCTTCAGCTCAAAATCCTCAGCCAAGTGAATGTTAATCGGTAAGCTGTGAAGCAAACATGCAGCATTGAAGATTAAACAAGAATGGAGTTCATATACAGACATTCAATTGCTTTAATTTTCTAATTTAAATATTTAAGATTAATATGATTTATACATATACTTTCAAACAAAATTTCTGATCAAACTTGTTCATATTATAAATTTTGATACAATTCCTTAATAAAAATGCATGATAATTTTATAAATTTTTCTAACGAAATTAAAAAATCTTTCGTAAATGTATAAATAATATTCATATTATTATTTAAAATATTTATTAAATTTTAGAATACGAATTTTTAATTCTAGATACAAATTTTGAGAGAAGAGCTGAGATTGAAAAAAATTATTTAAAAGGAATAAATATAAAATTAGTCAATACTTTAGTGCTTCATATTAACATCATTAATTAAGTTATTAATATGACATAAATAATTAATAAAATCATAACAGGTGTCATTATTAATATAACATTAAAAGAAAATTTCAAACTCATCACTAACTTAATTAATACTTATAGTTCTAAAAGCCAAATGCTTAAATGTCTAATTAAGAATTTTATTTTTTAAATATAAAATTAATAAAAATTATATAATATAAAGATCAAATAAATATTAAACCTTATTTAAAACTCAACCTTAATAAAATTTTACATATATATAATTAAATCTAATAATTTTAGACATAATACACGAATTTTGATAAAAATTATATAAATTTTAAAAATAAAAAATATATAAATAATTGACGCGACGTAAATGCACAGGTAGCTTTTGTTTATTTAATTAATTGAATTACTATTTTAAAAAATTCATTACTGAAATTTTTTAATAAAATTGTTGAAAGATTAGGTAAGATGCTGAGATCTAGGAAATGAATAATTGATTAGGAAAAAGACAAAACACTGAAGGTGATTCGCCGGTGAAGCAATGATGGAGAAAGAGCAGTAAAAAAATAAAGAAGAAAAAAAACCGCAACAACTGGCCAACTGCGTATGATTCTGAAACATCTGCTGGTATTAGCAAAAGAAAATTATTATCTCATTCTTATCTCAAGCTCTACTTCTTCCCCTCCACACTTCGCCAAATCTCTCTTCTCAAAGCGCTCCCCTTTGCTTCATCTGTTTGTTGCTAGGAAATTCTCTGAAAAAAGAGAAAAAAACCCAGCAAAGCAAACGAAAAACCTCGACCATGGGTCCAATAAAGATTGCAATCGGGGACATGGTGATTACTTTCATGTGGGTTTTTTGTGCTTCAACGTTTGGTTTATTATCTTCGTTGATAGCCACCGCCTTTGGTGTCCAAACCGTAGCATGGGCTCCTATTGTTATCATCACTGTCATCGTTTTCGTTTTCTTTTTCATCTTTAGTATTATTTGTGAATTTCTTGGCGGTGCTAGCTTTAATCCTACCGGAACTGCCGCCTTCTACGCTGCCGGGGTCGGTGACGATACCCTCATATCCATGGCCCTCCGCTTCCCTGCTCAGGTGAAAAATAAATTTGTTATCTTTTTGTGTTTTGCTTTGTGGGTTTTTTATTTTATGATGAAATTTTATTTGGATTTGATCTTGATTCTGCTTTTTTTCTTTATCTTTGTTAATCAAATCATATGAATTTTTGGGTTTAATCTTATTGATATTTTAACTGTAAATTTTTTTTGGGTCAGCATTAAATTCCTTAGAAATTCTTAATTGTGCATGAAGAATATGCGTTAAAAAAGTTTTTTTTTGGTTTACCTTATACATCAGTAATTTACCGGTTCAAATGATAAAAATTATTTATAAAAATTTGTAAATTCATCTGTAAATCCTATAACAATATGCCATTGTCTGGTCAAGGAGTCAAATAGTTTATGTCCTTTTTTTAAGCTTTAGTTACTTATTTTCTTTGTTTTACTGTCAAATATTCATAATTTTTATTACTCTGTTGCCAGTCTTTTTTGATCCGTGTGCTTTTTGCCTACATGGGTTTGACATTTGATTTGTTTTGTTAATTTCCTTTTAAACTTTATAGGTACTCTACTAAGCTGTAAATCTGAGATGTTGTCCCGTTTATTTCCTTTATTCTTAAAGGTTTCTTCCCCTTTATAAAGGAAATTTGAGTGTGCTAATGGAAATTTAAAATGAACAACGCATAATTGCTCCAAAAGTGGTTAGTGAACAGAATGATGCATTGTGAAGAACGAATCATGTTAAGATTTTTGTGATGTTTTTTCCTTTTTAGCATGTGAGAGTAATGGCATCTTAAGCTGTTTAACAACAATATTAAACAATTAGATAAAATGTTAAGATGCATTACTGAAAATAGAATGTCTCACTGGCAGGCGGCTGGTGCTGTGGGAGGTGCACTGGCGATCATGGAGGTAATGCCGGCACAGTACAAGCACATGATAGGGGGACCATCTTTGAAAGTGGATACACACACTGGAGCTATTGCTGAGGGGGTATTGACTTTTGTAATTACCTTTGCTGTTCTCTTAATCATTCTTAGAGGTCCGCAAAATGCAATATTCAAGACATGGTTGGTCGCCATTGCTACTGTAGCATTAGTCATGTCTGGCACTGCTTATACTGGACCTTCCATGAATCCTGCCAATGTAAGTTGCCTTTTCCATTTCCTTAGGCTGTTCTGCTATGAATTGTGTCTAACCTACATAGTGCTGTGATAATACCCACTGTTTACACTTTTTTGTCTCATTGTTTCCTTCGTGTACTATAAATTGCTATACGTTTATTCCCTTTTGAAGCATCTTGAGTATAAGCAGTTGTTTAACAACTGTCTCAACTAGAGATATCTCTTACTTGCTTGTTACCACTTCATTGGTTTGGATTCGTTGGAATATGATTGTACTCTGCCCCTCCATCTTGTTGTGATGCTTTTATAATATTAGTCAAGATGGTTGTCTCTGAAATTTGGCCTTATGAGCTAAGATGGGATTAGTTCCCTTTGTTTCTTTGTAATTAGGCACAGCCCGGTTGAATGAGAGATTCTTTGTAAATCCAGGTAGTCATGGTAATAGTTGTTCCTTGGGTGGTTATTGATATAGGTGGGGTTGAGAAGGATCCCATCTAAGCTATCTGTATTGCTTTTTCTGAGATCTGCATATCAAGGTGCCTCTTCCGAACATGTGCTTGTAATTCAATTTTGGAAAGCTGGTCTCTGTTAGTCTTCTGCACCATATTATAAACATGTTTTTGATAATTAGTGAAGGATCAGAGATGATTTCTAGTCTTGTTTGGTATGTAGACTTAGTTTATGCTATTTTCTCGATCACAATGATTTAAAGTCTTTATGTCATTGTTATTTGCTTTAAGTATAAGCAGTTGCCATTGATATGCTTTTTCAAGCATAATGATTAACGGATGCTGGTCTATTGGATGCAATTGTGTATGGTGAATTTACGAATAAGCAAATAGCTTAAGACTGTTTTTGTTGCTTCCTTTCACGTTCATCCATTTTGGTGACTTTACTCATTTTCTTCTTGTTGAATCTTTTCCTTGACTCCTGATTAAACTTCCTATCCGATAAAGTTATTCCCTAATTCAATTATATATTCTATTAAGCATGTATTTGCCAACTTTTCACTCTTTCTTTAAATTTTACGAGTTCATAACCGGTCATTTTCCCACTTTTTACTCGTGAAGACATTATAAGTAATTGCATTACTAACAGAGAATCCTGTTTCAGGCCTTTGGTTGGGCATATGTAAACAACTGGCACACCACATGGGATCATTTTTATGTTTATTGGATCTGTCCGTTCATTGGAGCTATATTGGCAGCTTGGGTCTTCCGCCTGTTCTTCCCCCCACCAACGGTGAAGGTGAAGAAAGCCTAAGGTGGCTCGATAAGGTTCCGGTGGCCATCAACAACAATAGATAAGCTGAATGTGCATGTAATAAGCACTTCTTTTTTCAATTTTACTAGTCGACTATCCATTTCTCTTTATCATTTGTGGATAATATGAATGAAGCATTCTGGCTGTGTAATGCCCTTTAATGCATTCTTTTGTTTGGTTGGCTGCATATATTGTCGAAATCTGACCAATCCTCCTTTCTTTTCTTGTTTAGTGATCTGGTTGAACTTTTCCAGGATGAATAATCCTATGTTGCTTGACTCTAATTTTTTTTAAATATACCCATGTTAGAGACATTTATCGGGAAGATTTTGAAAAGATTTAAATATATTCATATGGAACACATATTCGTATTTGACACTTATCATTTTAGTGACATAAAATACAAGAAAAAGGTGGTAAAAACGGCATTTACAAAATTTGCCAAATTAGAATGCATGAATTCGTGGAAAATTTAATCTTTTAAGTAAGTTTGAAGAAACGTAAGTTTGAAGGGTTAAAAGCATGACTTTTTCTGAATTAGTGTAGCCTTTGAATGTTGAATTAGCGTTGACCCAACAATTTAAAACATAAAATAATAATATAATATAAATATAACATAAAAAAAAATATAAAAATGATACAAATTAAAATTTTAATAATAATTATATATAAATTAAAAAATTTTAAAAAAATATATTTTATATTTTTATATTATCATTAATAATAATATATAATTTTAATATAAAATACAATATAAATACATAAATTTTAATATTTTATTCAATATAAATATCCCAATCACAAATCTAAATTTAAGTCAGCTGACTTTGTCAAGACCTAAGCAAAATATATATATATATATATATATATTGTAGTGTTTTCAGTTAGTACTGCAAATGATTCAATAGAACCAAATTTGCAAGAGTACATTAAGTCAGACTCTCCGTTTTGTTTCTGGTTTTATTTTTTTATTTTGAAAGAAAATTTATTTAAATATATAGTTTATTAATTATAAAATAAAATTTTAATTAAATTTATCGATTCATATTGTCAATATACGAAAAATATAAAATATATAAAAGATAAAATTATCGTATAACATTATTGAACACATTAAAAACTAAATACATATTTAAATTTTTTTCAAATTAATAATATTTTTTATTAAAATTTTAATTCACATCATTTTTATATACTTTAAAATTATCGGATCTATTTTGTAACAAAAGAATTTTTTAAAAAAATTAACTATATATTTTCTTACTTGGGATTCTCATCCGAAGAAAAAAAAAAACCTGAAAGGGATAGCTTTCAAATTTAACTTTCCAGTTTATTTTTTAAAAAACAAAACCAAAAAATACGTTAGAAATTAGGAATAATAAATCATTAAATCCTCCTCTTTCCTTCATTCCCTCCCCCAAATCCCTCCCACTACATTTTCTCTTTCTCTTCTATTCTTTGTCAATTCCTTCCCTTTCTCTTATTCACATGATCAACATTTCCTTTCCTCTCAAAATCACTTCTTAATTTCAGGCATTATTTTTTATTTTTTTTCATTCCGGTTTAAATTCCTATAAATTCGAAAACACCGAAATTTAGAAACCTGGAAGATCTGGAGCCATTACCGACTTCCACCGGCAACGGCCAGATCCGGTACCGAACACCATCCTCAGCCGAGCTTATCGAGTCTGGTCCAACCGGAGGCTCAATATCCCCGACTGGAAACGTCACCACCGATCACCTCGAAAAGATGATGAAGCGTTCAATGGCGAGGCACAAGTCCATCTCCGACAAGATCCACAAGTACCGAGGCGTTTTGCTACTGATCTCCATCCCTATCTTGCTTATAACATTCGTATTGTACTTGATGCCGGGAAAATCGGCTTCGGATGCGGCCGTGCTGGATGAGATTGAGATAAATAGCAGGAAAGTAGGAGCAAATTCGCGAGAGAATAGGAATTACGCGGTGATTTTTGATGCGGGGAGTTCCGGGAGTCGTGTTCATGTTTATTGTTTTGATCAGAATTTGGATCTTGTTCCAATTGGCTCTGAATTAGAGCTTTTTGAACAGGTAAATGATTTTTTACAATTTCTTTAGTAATAACGTAATTGTATTTCATGGATATATTTTCATGGCATTAGAGGTTTTTGAACTGCTAATGTCTTTTTATGTTTTTTTTTTAAATTTTTTTAAGGCAAAAATTATGATTTTTTATAATGTATGTAAGTGGAAATTTATTAGTATAAGATTTTTTCACTAATTTTTATTATATTAGTCGCATTAATCTAATATTTTAAGCATGAATTTGTTTGAACTTCTGAAGTAGGATTTAATTTTATATTTTGTACTTTTTAAAAAAATTTTAGAAGGGAAAGATTTAAATTTGGAATTTTAAGAGAGAAATGAAGCTTTGAAATGATAGTTCAAGTGCTAATTAATATAGTAATTTTTTTTATTATGTTGGTGGATTTTATTTGATATTTCTGTTATGTTTTTTCTTTTTTTCTTTTTGTTTATTTTTAGCTAGGAACGTGTGAATTGAGGATATAGTTGTGGTTTTGAATCTGGAATTTGAGTGAGAAATGTTGCATTAAAATGATAATTCATCTTAATTTTTGTTTTTAGCCTTTTTAAAAGAAAATTTATATTGCTGGCCTTTATTTGATATTTGTGGCATGCTTTTTTTTCAAATATTTAGAAGTAGGATTTGGCTTTGTATGCTCTGAAAGATAATTTTACTTGAATTTGAACAAAAAGGGAAGTTCCAGCATCAATTGGTTGATATTTTTCAAGGTGCCATTTTATTTGTATGCTCTGAAAGAGATTTTTTCTTGAATTTTATGTGACTGCATTCCATTTATTAATTGGTTTTATGTGGTTTGTTTTATAGCTCAAACCAGGTTTGAGCTACTACGCAAACGACCCGCAGGCTGCAGCAAATTCATTACTTTCTCTTCTTAAAAAGGCAGAAAGTGTTGTGCCAATAGATTTGCGATCAAAGACTCCCGTCAGAGTTGGGGTAGGTATACATAGATACATTGTGCATGCTTATTTGTGAATTATGAGTATCTTAAATTGCTGAAAAACGGGACTTTGAATGCTGTGTAGGCAACTGCTGGTCTTAGGGCATTAGAAGGCGATGCATCTGATAGAATTTTGAAAGCGGTAATTTTATTTTTGGAATCATTTTGGTTATGTTTGCAGGCTTATTTTGCCTTTCCCGAGGTAACATTTTTTTTAAATAACTTGTTTAGGTTAGTGAACTTCTGAAAGATAAAAGCAACCTCAAATCTGAGGCAAATGGGGTCAGAATTCTGGATGGCTCTCAAGAAGGTTCTTATGAGTGGGTATGTTATGCTAAATTTCATATACTTTTATACTATGCTTTTATTTTGGGCTTAAAGTGATTTTCCTTTCCAAGTTTGGTTATAGGAAAAATATGTCAAGCCAGCAGCAGAATGCATTTTATTGAATGCATGATCAGGGAGTAACATTCTGTTAAAAAAACATCAGGATAGTTTCCTACTTGTTGGGCCAGTGGACCAAATTTGTATCTTTCTAACTGCCATCTTGTTTTGCAGGTGACAATAAATTACCTACTAGGGAATTTAGGAAGGACGTATGGAGAGACAGTTGGCATAGTTGATCTTGGTGGTGGATCTGTTCAAATGGCATATGCCATCTCTGAGAATTCTGCTTCAAAGGCTCCAAGTGTACAAGCTGGAGAGGACAACTATGTAAATGAAATGCTTCTGAAGGGATCAAAATATCACCTCTATGTTCACAGGTTTCCCTCTTTCATTTTGACAAAGTGGTTTTATGATTCTATTAGTGATTAGAAATGGACAAAAAAGAAAATTTTTAATGGTTTGTGATTCCTTCAGCAGTTAATTTTATCAGAAGTGTCTTTATTCAGCCATTTTTAACTCTGTAGTGTCATGAAAATCCATATATATATATATATATATATGTTCATAATTTTATGTTTTATTTAATACGCTTTTGGCTTTTTGCATTCAGTTATTTGCACTATGGCTTATTGGCAGCTCGAGCCGAAATTTTGAAGGCCTCTGGAGATTCTGGCAATCCTTGCATATTGGAGGGTTTTGATGGTATGTTTGAATTTGTTCAATAGCTACATTTAACTTTTCAAAGAGGTTTCTTTAATGCTTTGATCACTGAAAATGTTATCTTTGGCAATTGCAGTACATGCAATAAGCTTCCAACCGAAAATTGTAGTTCCTCTCTATTCCTAATGTTTGAATGCTCTGAATAATGGAATAATTTGACTAATTATAATATCCTTTATTCTGTCGTTGGCTGGCAGAATGTGCCATTTAAGTACTTTGACATATTCTGCATTTTGTCATTCTAAGGTACTTACAAATATGGAGGAGAAGAATATAAGGCATCAGCTCCTTCATCGGGCACAAGCATGGAAGAGTGCAGGAGTGTAACTCTCAAAGCTCTTAAAGTAAATGATTCATGTACACATATGAAGTGCACATTTGGTGGTATATGGAATGGTGGGGGTGGAGATGGACAGAAGAATCTGTTTGTTGCTTCGTTTTTCTTTGACAGGGCTGCCCAGGTATTGCCCATCCAGAATTTTGTTGCCTGAAATAAACTACTGAAGAAACTGATTACTGATTCTAACTAAATTGTTTATAAATACAGGCCGGATTTATTAAAGCCACCGATCCTGTTGCAACAGTTCAGCCTCATTCTTTTGCGGTTGCTGCTAAACGTGCTTGTGAAACCAAGTATGCCAATGCTAGAGCAACATATACAGATGTGGACGAGAGTAACCTGGCATATATATGCATGGATCTAGTTTACGAGTACACTCTGCTCATTGATGGATTTGGTAAGCCTATATTGTTGATTCGGTGATGCAATTTCATAGTTGCAGATCCTGGTACAAAGGCATCTTAGGATTCTGATCATCCCACGTTGTCTTTTCTTGGACAGGCCTTGATCCCTACCAAGATATTACATTGGTGAAGCAAGTGAAATACCGCAATTCCCTTGTCGAAGCTGCTTGGCCACTAGGCAGTGCCATTGAGGCCGTATCATCATGAAGTAAAATTCCAAATCATGCAGCTCTTATCACTCACCGGAAATTTCCATGGCTTGTGTTTCTTAAGGATCGGCAGTTCTTAGTTGATTATCTTCATTGGTAATTACATTATTACAAGTTGCCCTGATTTTTATAATTTTTATGACAGATTAATTAGTTCATTTATTTTCTCCTACTGAACAAACAGATAATTGATACCATTGTGTTTGTGACCCCTAATATTTTTTGTTAGTAAAGGAGAGCAATTTTCTTTAAATTTTAATCTCTTTGTACTATTTTCAAACCCCTCCTTTTTCTTATTTGTGTTAAGGTAAATGAGGAAAGCATGCAATTGTTGTATTTATATTTGTTTATTTTATATTAAATACATATAAAATATAAAAATTATCACATATAATTTGTGTTGACAAATTTAAACACGAAATGATAATATAATATAAATATGCATATAATATTTGTATTTTTATTTGTATTGTATTATTATATTGTGTTTAAATTTGTCAAATGTAAAAAGTTATCACATGCATTTCAGACGCTAGATTTTTGCCCGACCGATTGCAAGCTCTCCTTTACCCTAATCAAACTCTAGATGATATTTGTCTTAAAAAAAAAAAAAAAAACCTCTAGAAGAATTTTTTTTATATTATATAGATGTCGTATTATGCTGTTTAAAATAATTATAATTAAATCTTGTTAATAGGATGAAAGCAGTGATTGCTTAGAATATTTACTTTTCGCTCCTCACATATTTTAAAACTTGTTTGGGTTTATCACACCAATATTGGCTGAGAAGAAATCACTCCATGTCAACACTTTGATACTTGTCACAGTTTCTGAACTGTTGCACAAAAAGATAAGCCTGTTGAGTCACCGGAGAATAGATCCAATGGCATGGTTAACGTGAACACATCAGCAGAAATCCCTTTTTGAACCCTTTCACAAAGAATTTTTGCACAAAAAGACTTAGGAATTCACTACTTTATGTGAAAAAAAATGTTTTGTGCAAAAAGGAAAAATAAACTTAATAAGAAAATGAAAATTAGATGTTGAAAATAGATAATAAAACTTGATTAATTGTTTCAATAACGTGAGGGAAAAGAAGCATGGGCTGTTTGGTAGATGGGAAATTATCTCCCTCCTGAGTCCTCCACACCTGAGAATATTAAAGCAGGAAAGAAGAAAGGAAAGTGGCGGGATTAGAAAAACAAAGAAGCTTGATTCAAAGCAGGAGAATTTTATCACTTCCGGAGTTAAATGGTTGAAACGGTAAGTAGAAAATTATTGATTTCCTCTTATGGTCACTTACTCAGCAGTTTTGTTTTAATTCTGTCGTTCTCTCAAACACTTAGTATGCTATCTAGAAATGTAGGGAGTCAGGTTTACAAGGTCAAAGCTTTATGCTTTTTCTGGTTTTGCCAATACCCATTTAAAAACAGAGCATTTAAATCCAACCCAGTATCAAAATCCCACCTTTGAAACTGTTGAAACAACAAAAAGAACAGTAGCTATCACCAAACCCTTTGAATTTTTGCTTCCCATTTCAGTTATCTTCTTTTTTTACTTCAAATATTGATTTCTCAAGCGAACCAAAGGTTGAAATTTTTGATGAAAATAGTGATAATGATAATGATGATGCTGAAGATAGTGAGGATTTTGATGGCAATATTGTAAATGGATTGAGTTTAAGCAACGAGGGTACTATTCAGGATGTCAAGGGAATTATGAAACATAATGCATGAAACAGGTAGTAATTATGTTGAAATGAAGAATAAGCTTGAGCTATGTGGTATTAGGGGTTTTCTCTGAGTTGGTGGTGGTGGAGGTTCTTTCTCGGGTTTGGAATGATTGGAAAGTGGCGTTTATGTTCTTTTTATGGGCTGGGAAGCAGCTGGTTTATGCTTATTCATTGTATGAATATCATTCGGTGATTTCTATGCTAGGGAAGATGAGGAAGTTTGACATTGCATGGGCGTTGATTGACGAAACGAGAGGAGGGCGAGCAGGCCCTTGTCTTGTGACACCAGACTCTCTTGATCATGATAAGGCATTACTGTGCTGTGCATACGTGGGGAGGGCTATAAATACGTTTTGTGCGTATAAAAAATTTAAATTTGATTTGGGAATCAAGGAGTTCCAGAGTCTGTTGTCTGCAGTTTCTCAATACAAAAATGTGCAGGATGCTGAGCATCTGATGTTTTTTAGCAAGAATGTCTTTCGTTTAATACCAAGAGTTTTAATATTTTACTGAACACATGGTGTAATGTGATTGGTAGAGGCAGAGAGGTTTGGAGGGAAATGAGCAAGGGAGGTGTTCGACATGATGTTGTGTCATATGCAAGTCATGTCCTGCTACTCAAAGACCTGTAATCTTAACAAGGTACTTAAGTTCTTCACCGAGATGAAACTAATGGGGATTGAACCAAATAGGAAGGTTTACAATGGGGTAATCCTTGCTCTTGCATGGGCTAAGCATGTAAAAGAGGATATCGATCTTCTCAAAACTATGGAAGAAAAGGGTATTGCTCCGAATGTTGTTACTTATAATTAACTGATCAAGCCTCTATGCAATGAAGATAGATGAGGCTAGACTAGTCATTGACAAGATGATGCAGAGGGACCTCTCACCTACAATTCAGACCTACCATGCTTGCATTCGTACTCTAAGAAATGGGGAAGAAGTATTTGATCTCTTGGAGAAGATGAGAAAGATGGGCTGTCAACCAACCAATGATACCTATATCGTGCTGATAAGAAAGTTTAGTCAATGGTACCAGTTTGATAATGTTGGTTGGTTCTGACCATAGTTCATATATTGTGTTGATTCATGGGTTAATTTTAAAGGGAAAGTTGGATGAAGCATACAAATTTTATATGGAGACGAAGGAAAAGCAATTATTTCCAGAACCAATGATAGCTGAGATGCTTCAGGATTGGGTTTCTGGTAAGCAATTTGCAGAGTGACAAATGGCTGATCTGAAGACTAATCAATTGTTAGATAATCAGTTGGACAACCAGATCAGAGTTGAATCGAAAAAATTTGATTAGGAGAAAGATTTTCTCAAGCAACCTGAAACCAGAATAGTTGTCAGAGAAAGAGGTTTTTATTTTTGGGAGCAATAGGTTCGCATGATACCATAAAACTCCACAATATGTGCTTGGTATATTGGACTCTAGGCTTCAATACCGAGATTCCCTTGGATACCATCTTGGCATTCTCCATCACCAAGAGCAATACAAGATGCCTCATTGCTTTGCAACTATTTGATAGTACTGTATAATATTTTGGTTGAGAACATTCTTTTTGAATCATGAATAACCGACTGTAAACATGCATTCATTTCAAATTAATTGGATCTTCCCCCATGAATGGCATCTGTATGTCTACATGAAATGCACATGGTATCCTTTTGTGGATGGTAAGATGTTATTGTGCAGCTCATCACTACTGTTTCTGGATCTAAAACCGTACTTGGCCTGATATGAACTATATGCTTTTTCATGTAGCTAACATACAACCTGTGGCTACTTAGTCTTATGGGCATAGAGCAAGAGGGCTAGCACAAATATTGCTCCTGGCAAAAGAAGAAGTGGATACCGTTGGCTAGATATCTGTAGCTCTACTTTTGCAATATCGTAGCCCCGAGTACCAAATTTGTGATTGTTTGCAGTTCCTTTGTTTTGAGCTCATCACTGCCATGTTGATCGTACTTACACATAGTAGCACAACTTTCTGTAAGACATTCTTGTTTCTAATTTTGAGTTGCATTCACATATTTTTTGCTTGATGGTATACCATGAGGCTGGCAATTAAACCTTGTTTTCTTAGTGTCATTTGGTTTGGCATTGGAAAAGGTTTCAGAAAACATTGGAGATGTAGAAATTAGAATTGCTTAGAAACCCTACACAACTATAATGAAAGGTTGCTAAGCTCGTTAACTTGGAAGTGAGAATGTTGTGAATGATTTCCAGAGCTCATGAAATTCTTTTGATAATAAATATTGCATAGTAGCCGCTCTCCAGGATCTTTGAGATGCCTATTATACAAAGTTCAATATCTCTGAAATATCTTTGGATCAATAAGATTCAGGATTTATCTGAGGTAAAAATTGTTGCACCCAATCTCTCCCTTTTGCATCCCTTCTTTTATTTAGGTGGTTTCATGAGTAATTGGGATTTTCTATTAAAACCATATCAAATAACATGTATGTTCTTATGTGTTTATATAGGGATGTATAGATTTTCATACTGATTAAGTAGCCATTATGCGTATTCTCAAACCATTGACTAGAATTTTTTACTCGACCTTACCGCAGCCTCTACCAGATTTCCTGTTTATTCGCATCCATTCATACTTGTGTTGCTCCTTCAGGATCTCCACTTGCATTTTATAGGTGTGTTGTTCTTGACTATAAAGATTCTTATACTGTTAATAGCCACTGACCTCCTAGCCACTTACAAAATCCTTAGTTTGAAAGGTCTTCCATCCGACAAGGCATGTGCTAATGGAACTGATTAGTCAGGCTTAGAACTGTTTAATACGTCATATATGCTTTGCTCTAGTCTAAGCTGAGCAATCCATCTTCTGTTATTGTGAGAATTTCCTACAAATCTGGTCTGGCAATTGACTGATTGAAAGCATGGATGTTGAGCTTTGATTTGAAATCAAGATCTCAAGTTGAGATCAGGTTGATCTAATAATATATATAGTTTTTATTTTGTACTTCTGTTGAGGTTGGTAGTGAAATTAAATGATCGTCAAAGCTACTTTGACATCTTGTAGCTTCATCAATAGCAGAGTTACCTAGTTGTCCCTACATTCTTTCAATTCAAAGTAAGCAAACTTTTCATTTTCTATTTTTCTTTGTCTTCTCAATTCCAATATCACATAAATCTAACTAGTGAATGTTTAAAGGTGTGTGGATGCAGCAGCATTCCATGGTGCATGGAAAATGGAAAAAAGAGAATGAAAAGTTGAAGAAGAAAACTCAAAGCATCTCTTCTGGTCAGGTACTTATGACTGAGAAAATAGATGATGGATGCTCTGTGAGTTCTTGACTTTAGGCCTAAACTCATTATGTGGTGCACTGCCTCAGATGGATAGCTGGTGCATTTCCATTTGACATGAGATACGCACTAGGCCATAGATTAGGTGAATTACACGTGGAAAACTACAGGGGTCATTTTCATTACTTTTTAAGCATTGGAACTTAGCTAGTTGTTGCGTATTCGTACATGCCATCCATGCCTTTGACTAGTCTAACTTGTATGTTTTTATGTTTATCCCATTCTCACTCAAATGTCCCTAAAAACTTGATGTAATGATTGACTGCTCGTTCATCTGGGGTAGGATTTAAAGCTACCCTGGGCCTATGATAACTAAGGATGAACTCTGAAAAGGAGGAGATAACCATGTTTTTAACAACCCACTCTCATT